ATTTTAGTGGTAGTAGTATTGTACTAGTGCTGTAGTCGTAGTACTGTAGTCGTAGTACTGTGGTAGTAGTAGTAGTATTGTAGTGGTACTACTGTAGTACTGTAGTAGTATTTTAGTAGTATTGTAGTAGTAGTACTGTAGTAGTAGTACTGTAGTAGTACTGTAGTAGCAGTATGTGGCAGTAGTAGTATTGTAGTATAGTATACTGTAGTAGTACTGTGGTAGTAGTACTGTAGTAGTATGGTGGTAGTAGTACTGTGGTAGTAGTAGTATTGTAGTGGTACTACTGTAGTACTGTAGTAGTATTTTTGTAGTATTGTAGTAGTACTATGGTAGTAGTAGTACTATAGTAGTACTGTGGTAGTAGTACTGTAGAAGTAGTAGTGTGGTAGTAGTACTGTAGTAGTACTGTAGTAGTACTGTGGTAGTAGTACTGTAGTAGTAGTACTGTAGTAGTACTGTAGTAGTAGTACTGTAGTATTGTGGTAGTAGTAGTACTGTGGTAGTAGTAGTAGTATTGTAGTGGTACTCCTCTAGTACTGTAGTAGTATTTTAGTAGTATTGTAGTAGTAGTACTGTGGTAGTAGTAGTACTGTAGTAGTAGTACTGTAGTAGTACTGTGGTAGTAGTACTGTAGAAGTACTGTGGTAGTGGTACTGTGGTAGTAGTACTGTAGTACTGTAGTAGTACTGTAGTAGTAGAACTGTAGTAGTAGTACCTGTAGTAGTACTGTAGTAGTAGTACTGTAGTAGTTTCTGTAGTAGTAGTACTGTAGTAGTAGAACTGTAGTAGTAGTACTGTAGTAGTACTGTAGTAGTAGTACTGATAGTAGTATTGTGGTAGTAGTAGTATTGTAGTGGTACTACTGTAGTACTGTAGTAGTATTTTAGTAGTATTGTAGTAGTACTGCAGTAGTAGTACTGTAGTAGTAGTACTGCAGTAGTAGCACTGTGGTAGTAGTAGTACTGTAGTAGTATTGTGGTAGTAGTAGTACTGTTATAGTAGTATTGTAGTGGTACTACTGTAGTACTGTAAGTAGTATTTTTAGTAGTAGTACTGTAGTAGTAGCACTGTGGTAGTAGTAGTACTGTAGTAGTACTGTGGTAGTAGTAGTACTGTAGTAGTAGTACTGTAGTAGTACTGTGGTAGTAGTAGTACTGTAGTGGTACTACTGTAGTACTGTAGTAGTATTTTAGTAGTATTGTAGTAGTACTGTAGTAGTACTGTAGTAGTATTGTGGTAGTAGTAGTACTGTGGTAGTAGTAGTATTGTAGTGGTACTACTGTAGTACTGTAGTAGTATTTTAGTAGTATTGTAGTAGTAGTACTGTAGTAGTAGTACTGTAGTAGTATTGTGGTAGTAGTAGTACTGTGGTAGTAGTAGTATTGTAGTGGTACTACTGTAGTACTGTAGTAGTACTGTCGTAGTAGCACTGTGGTAGTAGTAGTACTGTAGTAGTATTGTGGTAGTAGTAGTACTGTGGTAGTAGTAGTACTGTAGTGGTACTACTGTAGTACTGTAGTAGTATTTTAGTAGTATTGTAGTAGTACTGTAGTAGTAGTACTGTAGTAGTATTGTGGTAGTAGTAGTATTGTGGTAGTAGTACTGTGGTAGTAGTACTGTAGTGGTACTACTGTAGTACTGTAGTAGTAGTACTGTCATAGTAGCACTGTGGTAGTAGTAGTACTGTAGTAGTATTGTGATAGTAGTAGTACTGTGGTAGTAGTAGTATTATAATGGTACTACTGTAGTACTGTAGTAGTATTTTAGTAGTATTGTAGTAGTACGGTAGTAGTAGTATTGTAGTGGTACTATTGTAGTACTGTAGTAGTATTTTAGTAGTATTGTAGTAGTACTGTAGTAGTAGTATTGTAGTGGTACTATTGTAGTACTGTAGTAGTATTTTAGTAGTATTGTAGTAGTAGTACTGTAGTAGTAGTATTGTAGTGGTACTATTGTGGTACTGTAGTAGTATTGTAGTAGTAGTAGTACTGTAGTAGTATTTTAGTAGTATTGTAGTAGTAGTAGTACTGATTAACGCCTTCGACTGACTGTTCCCACACTGAATCCCGACAGAGCCGAGTCCTGAGTCAAGACGGATCAAGTCTTGAGTCGGATCGAGTCTTGAGTCGGATCGAGTCTTGAGTCGGATCGAGTCTTGAGTGGAATCGAGTCTTGAGTGGAATCGAGTCTTGAGTCGGATCGAGTCTTGAGTCGGATCGAGTCTTGAGTCGGATCGAGTCTTGAGTCGGACCGCGTCGGATCAAGTCTTGAGTCGGATCGCGTCGGATCAAGTCTTGAGTCGGATCGAGTCTTGAGTCGGACCGCGTCGGATCGAGTCGGGAGTCGGATCGAGTCGGGATCGGGCCACTGTAGTATCGGTCCGCTCTGGGCTCGGCCATGCTGTTCTCGGGCTCGCAGGGCCCCCTACGGCGCGCCCTGCAGGTGGCCCAGGCCGTGGCGGGCCTCGTGGGCAGCTTCTGCGCCCTGGTGGCCGCCTCCTCGCGCCGCTGGGACGGGCAGGGAGGCCTCTGGGACGACCCCCAGCCTCGGCTCGCCAGAGCCGGGTTCAGGGATGACACAGGTGGGTGGAGTGGTGGGTGGTAGGTGGAGTGGTGGGTGGAGTGGTGGGTGGTGGAGTGGTGGGTGGAGTTGTGGGTGGTGGAGTGGTGGATGGAGTGGTGGGTGGCTGGAGTGGTGGGTGAGTGGTTGGTTGGGTGGATGGAAAGCAGTGGTGGCTGGTTGTTGGAGTGGTGGACGGCTGGGTGGGTGGTTGGTGGAGTGGGTGGCTGGGTCGTGGAGCGGTGGGTGGTCGTGATTGATTGGTCGAAGATGACGAATTTGGCTGCGATTTCGGGCACCGCTCATGTTTAGTTAAATTCACGGCCGTGGTTTGTACATTGAACTTCTTTTGCGCAGTACGTAGCCAAATGTGCTAGTCTGCGTGAGTCTATGGGTCTCTGTGTGAGTATGTGGGTCTGCGTGTGAGTCTATGGGTCTTTGTGTGAGTCTATGGCTCTCTGTGTGAGTCTATGGGTCTTTGTGTGAGTCTATGGGTCTTTGTGTGAGTCTATGGGTCTGTGTGAGTCTATGTGTCTCTGTGTGTGTCTATGTGTCTCTGTGTGAGTCTATGGGTCTCTGTGTGTCTATGGGTCTCTGTGTGTGTCTATGGGTCTATGTGTGTGTCTATGTGTCTCTGTGTGAGTCTATGGGTGTCTGTGTAAGTCTATGGGTCTCTGTGTGAGTCTATGGCTCTCTGTGTGTGTCTATGTGTCTCTGTGTGAGTCTATGGGTCTCTGTGTGAGTCTATGGGTGTCTGTGTGAGTCTATGGGTCTCTGTGTGAGTCTATGGGTGTCTGTGTGAGTCTATGGGTGTCTGTGTGAGTCTATGGGTCTCTGTGTGAGTCTATGGATCTCTGTGTGAGTCTATGGGTCTCTGTGTGAGTATGTGGGTCTGCGTGTGAGTCTGTGGGTCTCTGTGTGAGTCTATGGGTGTCTGTGTGAGTCTATGTGTCTCTGTGTGAGTCTATGGGTCTTTGTGTGAGTCTATGGCTCTCTGTGTGAGTCTATGGGTCTTTGTGTGAGCCTATGGGTCTCGGCGTGAGTCTTTGGGCCTCTGTGTGAGTCTATGGGTCTCTGTGTGAGTCTATGGGTCTGTGTGAGTCTATGTGTCTCTGTGTGTGTCTATGTGTCTCTGTGTGAGTCTATGGGTCTCTGTGTGTGTCTATGGGTCTCTGTGTGTGTCTATGGGTCTATGTGTGTGTCTATGTGTCTCTGTGTGAGTCTATGGGTGTCTGTGTAAGTCTATGGGTCTCTGTGTGAGTCTATGGCTCTCTGTGTGTCTATGTGTCTCTGTGTGAGTCTATGCGTCTCTGTGTGAGTCTATGGGTGTCTGTGTGAGTCTATGGGTCTCTGTGTGAGTCTATGGGTGTCTGTGTGAGTCTATGGGTCTCTGTGTGAGTCTATGGATCTCTGTGTGAGTCTATGGGTCTCTGTGTGTGTCTATGGGTCTCTGTGTGTGTCTATGGGTCTCTGTGTGAGTCTATGGGTCTCTGTGTGAGTCTATGGGTCTCTGTGTGAGTCTATGGGTCTCTGTGTGAGTCTATGGGTCTCTGTGTGTGTCTATGGGTCTCTGTGTGTGTCTATGGGTCTATGTGTGTGTCTATGGGTCTCTGTGTGTGTGTCTGTGTCTCTGAGTCTATGGGTCTCTGTGTGTGTCTATGGGTCTCTGTGTGTGTCTATGGGTCTATGTGTGTGTCTATGTGTGTATATTGAACTGCTTTCGCACCGTACGTAGGCAACCGCGCTTATTGGACGTGCGGGGGAAGGACAACAAACTAACGCACAAAAATCACTTCCAAAGAAATGAGTTTGTCAATCTCGATGATGACAATAATGATCACGATGACGACGACGATGACGACGACGATGACCATGATGATGATGACGATGACGACGACGACGATGACGACGACGATCATTTAAAAGTGCAGCACAGCTCCCAGTGGCTTCCGAATGCCCGAAAGGGAAGAACGTTCCAGACGGCCGCCTGAAGCGCAATCTGAAAGCGACGTCGTCTTTGTTCGACGGCTCGGCCAGAAGCCGCTGCTGCTGTTGCCGCGAGGGTGACCGCAGTGTGGGCGGTGCGGGAAAGCGAATCGCGGATTATGATTCACTGTGTAACAAAAAAAAAAACACGTGATTTTTGTTACATGGGCAGTACGTGTTACTTCCTAATTGCCCACGCCTCAAATGTACGCAAAATGATGATTATTATTCTCCGCAAACTTTGCTTTTGTGGACCAGGACAGTGATATTTTGGTATGTACATGTTGTCAATGAGAACACATTCCTTCAAGTAAAGTCCTGTTCACAAAAGCAACGTTTGTGGGGTACAGTAATAATAATAGCCGCTTTCTGTACTTTTGAGGCATAAGCAATTGGAAAATAACACTTACCACCCAGGAACAAAAATCGCGTCACATCGTGAATTTTTTTTTTATAATTATTAGCAGAAGGAGCTCGGAACAAGGGCGTGGCAGTGCCCCACGTCGTAGATATTAATTTATCATGATATTTTAAATATTCTACGGTTCCGGTGTCCTGGCCAGCTGCTGGCCTGGATCCTTTGCATCACCCCAACGATAACTTTTTTTTGCGGGAGTGCCACGCGGGTATTTACCGGGGCGGCCACCGTGTCGGAACCACGAACCACTCGGCGACCATGAACCATTATTTTGTATCTTACCAGGCAAGGCCCCACTGCGCTATGTAGCTCTTATTCAGGAGCGACCTGGCCGTCACAGATGATAGCAGTGGCAGCTTCTCGTCTTTGTGTGGACATTTGCATCAGTAGCCAAAGTCTCTAAACGCGTGGTGACGTGGATCATAAACATCGGAGGACCCGGAGGGAAATCCACGCGACACCACAGACTCCAAATATACAGCAGCAGCAGGCGTCAGGGTCGGGATCGAACCCACGACCTCCTGCGCACCGGGCGAGGTAGTCAACATCTCCCTAGCCACCGTGACGATGACGACGAGAGACGCACACTCCAAATATACAGCAGCAGCAGCGGTGTCGGAGATCGGCATCGAACCCACGACCTCCTGCGTACCGGGCGAGGTAGTCAACATCTCCCTAGCCACCGTGACGATGACGACGAGAGACGCGCACACACTCCAAATATACAGCAGCAGCGGTGTCGGAGGTCGGCATCGGACCTCACGACTTCCTGCGTACCGGGCGAGGCGGCCAACGTCTCGGGCGTGCCCCTTCCGCAGCCGTGCAGGCGGAGCGGGTGTACGCGGGCACCGCGTGCGTGCTGGCGTGCGCCGCCGCCTCCGTGTGTCTCCACATGCTGGTCTTCTGGGACCAGCGGCGGCACGGGACGCCTGCCCTGCACCGTGAGCGCACGCTGCAGCCCAGCTCCCTGCTCCTCGCCGTGCTCATGCCCACCGGTGAGCGGCCCCGACCCCACCACCCCGACGGCTTGGTGCCCGCTCCACGCACCCTCCTGCCCTCTCCCCCCTCTCAACTCTCTCCCCTGCCCTCTCTCCCCTCTCATCACCTCGCTCCACTCCCCTCCCACGCACCCTCCTGCCCTCTCCCCCCTCTCAACTCGCTCCCCTCCCGCGCTCTCCGCTGCCCTCTCTCCCCTCTCATCACCTCGCTCCACTGCCCTCCCACGCTCTCCCCTGCCCTCTCTCCCCTGCCCTCTCCCCCCTCTCATCACCTCGCTCCACTCCCCTCCCACGCTCGTCCCCTGCCCTCTCCCCCCTCTCAACTCACTCCCCTCCCACGCTCTCCCCTGCCCTCTCTCCCCTGCCCTCTCTCCCCTGCCCTCTCCCCCCTCTCATCACCTCGCTCCACTGCCCCTCCCACGCTCTCCCCTGCCCTCTCTCCCCTCTCATCACCTCGCTCCACTGCCCCCTGATCACCCACCTATCCCCGTGCTGCTTGTGATCTCGGATGCCCCCTCACCCCAATTCCCTCCACCCGTGCTCCCCATCACCCCCTCACCCCCCCCCCCCCCCCCCCCCAGGCGTGCTGACGCTCATCCCGTGGGCATCGTTCACGGCCCGCAGCGGCTACGAGGGTGGTCCCGGCCTGCTGCGTTTCGGCTACTCCTACGGCCTGGCGCTCATCGGCTGGCTGCTGCTGCTCGTCGTGGCGCCGGTGATCGCCGCGCTGGAGCAGTGCCTGGAGATCGGTGGCGGCGGAGGCGGCGGAGGCGGCGGAGGCGGCGGAGGCGGCGGAGGCGGTGGAGGCGGCGGAGGCGGTGGAGGCGGTGGAGGCGGCGCCACGCAGGCGACGGTGGAAGCCGCCGTGGGCGCGGCGGCGGCGGCGGCCGACGTTCGGGCGGTCGGCGTCGTGGGCCGCGAGGCCGGGCCGGAGCGGGAGCGGCTGCTCCGGAAGAGGCCACGGGGAGAGGAGGGGGTCGCCCTGGAGATGAGCGGGCGGGCGCGGCCGGCGAGCGCTCCCGTGCGGAGCGACGCGAAGAGGGGAGGGGCGGACGAGGAGGAGGAGGAGGAGGAGGGGGCGGGGGGGGGGCGAGGGAGAAGGAGGAAAGACGCGAGGCAGACTCGGGCGTTTTGAGTCATTCATTGGGCGGGGGGGCGGGGGGCGGGGGGGCCGTGGCCGGGAGAGGCGCCGACGACGGTGAACGTCCACGGCCGTCCCTTCGACCGTCCTCACTGACGACGTCGTAGCTATCATCGTCGTCATCGTCGTCATCGTCGTTGTTGTCGTCATCGTCGTCATAGTTATCATCGTCATCATCGTCATCATCGTCATCATCGTCGTCATCGTCGTCGTCGTCATAGTTATCATCGTCATCATCGTCGTCATCGTCGTCGTCGTCATAGTCATCATCGTCATCATCGTCATCATCGTCGTCATCGTCGTCGTCGTCATAGTTATCATCGTCATCATCGTCATCATCGTCATCATCGTCGTCGCACCTAGGGGGTTTAATTCTTGCTGGATGGCTTCCGGCGGGTGGCTGGCGAGGCTGGATCGGGTGGAGTGGGTGGAGTGGGTAGAGTGGGTGGAGTGGGTGGAGTGGGTGGAGTGGGTGGAGCGGGTGGAGCGGATGGAGTGGGTGGAGCGGGTGGAGTGGGTGGAGCGGATGGAGTGGGTGGAGTGGGTGGAGTGGGTGGAGCGGGTGGAGCGGGTGGAGCGGATGGAGTGGGTGGAGCGGGTGGAGTGGGTGGAGCGGATGGAGTGGGTGGAGCGGGTGGAGTGGGTGGAGCGGATGGAGTGGGTGGAGCGGGTGGAGCGGATGGATTGGCTGGAGCGGGTGGAGCGGCTGGAGCAGGTGGAGTGGGTGGAGCGGGTGGAGCGGGTGGAGTGGGTGGAGCGGCTGGAGCGGGTGGAGTGGGTGGAGTGGGTGGAGTGGGTGGAGCAGCTGGAGTGGGTGGAGTGGGTGGAGTGGGTAGAGCAGCTGGAGTGGGTGGAGTGGGTGGAGTGGGTAGAGCAGCTGGAGTGGGTGGAGTGGGTGGAGTGGGTGGAGCAGCTGGAGTGGGTGGAGTGGGTGGAGTGGGTGGAGCAGCTGGAGTGGGTGGAGTGGGTGGAGTGGGTGGAGTGGGTGGAGTGGGTAGAGCAGCTGGAGTGGGTGGAGTGGGTGGAGTGGGTGGAGCGGCTGGAGCGGGTGGAGCGGGTGGAGTGGGTGGAGTGGGTGGAGCAGCTGGAGTGGGTGGAGTGGGTGGAGTGGGTGGAGCAGCTGGAGTGGGTGGAGTGGGTAGAGCAGCTGGAGTGGGTGGAGTGGGTGGAGTGGGTGGAGTGGGTAGAGCAGCTGGAGTGGGTGGAGTGGGTGGAGTGGGTGGAGCAGCTGGAGTGGGTGGAGTGGGTGGAGTGGGTGGAGTAGCTGGAGTGGGTGGAGCAGCTGGAGTGGGTGGAGTGGGTGGAGTGGGTGGAGTGGGTAGAGCGGCTGGAGTGGGTGGAGTGGGTGGAGTGGGTGGGGTGGGTGGAGCGGCTGGAGCGGGTGGAGCGGGTGGAGTGGGTGGAGTGGGTGGAGCAGCTGGAGTGGGTGGAGTGTGTGGAGTGGGTGGAGCAGCTGGAGTGGGTGGAGTGGGTGGAGCTGCTGGAGTGGGTGGAGTGGGTGGAGTGGGTGGAGCGGGTGGAGCGGGTGGAGCAGCTGGAGTGGGTGGAGTGGGTGGAGCGGCTGGAGTGGGTGGAGCGGGTGGAGTGGGTGGAGCGGCTGCAGTGGCTGGAGTGGGTGGAGTGGGTGGAGTGGGTGGAGCGGCTGGAGTGGGTGGAGCGGCTGGAGTGGGTGGAGTGGGTGGAGTGGGTGGAGCGGCTGGAGTGGGTGGAGCGGGTGGAGTGGGTGGAGCGGCTGCAGTGGCTGGAGTGGGTGGAGTGGGTGGAGTGGCTGGAGTGGGTGGAGTGGGTGGAGTGGCTGGAGTGGGTGGAGTGGGTGGAGTGGGTGGAGCGGCTGGAGCGGGTGGAGTGGGTGGAGTGGGTGGAGTGGGTAGAGCGGCTGGAGTGGGTGGAGTGGGTAGAGCAGCTGGAGTGGGTGGAGTGGGTGGAGTGGGTGGAGTGGGTAGAGCAGCTGGAGTGGGTGGAGTGGGTGGAGTGGGTGGAGCAGCTGGAGTGGGTGGAGTGGGTGGAGTGGGTGGAGTAGCTGGAGTGGGTGGAGCAGCTGGAGTGGGTGGAGTGGGTGGAGTGGGTGGAGTGGGTGGAGCGGCTGGAGTGGGTGGAGTGGGTGGAGTGGGTGGGGTGGGTGGAGCGGCTGGAGCGGGTGGAGCGGGTGGAGTGGGTGGAGTGGGTGGAGCAGCTGGAGTGGGTGGAGTGTGTGGAGTGGGTGGAGCAGCTGGAGTGGGTGGAGTGGGTGGAGCTGCTGGAGTGGGTGGAGTGGGTGGAGTGGGTGGAGCGGGTGGAGCGGGTGGAGCAGCTGGAGTGGGTGGAGTGGGTGGAGCGGCTGGAGTGGGTGGAGCGGGTGGAGTGGGTGGAGCGGCTGCAGTGGCTGGAGTGGGTGGAGTGGGTGGAGTGGGTGGAGCGGCTGGAGTGGGTGGAGCGGCTGGAGTGGGTGGAGTGGGTGGAGTGGGTGGAGCGGCTGGAGTGGGTGGAGCGGGTGGAGTGGGTGGAGCGGCTGCAGTGGCTGGAGTGGGTGGAGTGGGTGGAGTGGCTGGAGTGGGTGGAGTGGGTGGAGTGGCTGGAGTGGGTGGAGTGGGTGGAGTGGGTGGAGCGGCTGGAGCGGGTGGAGTGGGTGGCTACTGATCGACATTGGCGTCGTGAGAGGCACTCTGGATGATGATGATGGTGATGATGGTGATGATGGTGATGATGGTGATGTGGTGGTGGGGGTGGTGGTGGTGATGATGGTGATGATGGTGATGTGGTGGTGGGGGTGGTGGTGGTGGTGTGTGCCGTCGCTTGTCCGCAGCTCACCATCGCCTGCAGGTGCTCGTGCGTGTGGGGAGCGGCGGTGCAGCGGTTAGCGCCACGCTGCGTCGCAAACCCGGCCATCACCCGAGTTCGATTCCCGCTCACGGCCACCAAAACGATTATCCGAACCGGTCCTTGGGGCCTCCCCTAGGTCGACTCGGCCTCAAATGAGTTGCTGGCGCGGCGCGTAAAAACATCGCCGCTGGGGGAGACAAAGGCGGCCGGGCGTGGTGCTGGCCACCCGCCCCCCATCGTGTGCCACAGCGCCGGCCTTCATAGCTGCTGCTCGCTAACAGCACTTGCCCCTGCAGTCTGTCGAGGCTACGCGGGGGATCTTTGCCTCTTGTCTTCGAGATCGCGGTCCGTTCTCTCTCTCTCTCTCGTACGGCTTGCTGATGCCTCCACCTCCGTATTGGAGTCTCCGCCGGCAGCGGTGGTTGAAACACCGCACCGGGCACTCACGAGGGGCCGAGTCGACGCCGGGGGAGCCGACGAGGCCCAGGACCGCTTCAGGTAACCGTCGCCGGCGTTGGCCGCGGGGGCTGGGCATCGAACTCGCGCGTCGCCGGGTTCGTAGCGCGGCGCCGACCGCTGCGCCACCGCTCCCCGCTTCTTCTCCCGCACGGCTCCCGATGCCGATGCAGACCCACGACCGCCATTGCCACATTGGGGGTTCGTCAAGCGCGGACGAAGACAACCACGTGAGGAGCCAACGGAGTGGTGCGTCATCATCGTCGTCGTCATCGTCGTCGTCGTCATCGTCGTCGTCATCGTCGTCGTCGTCATCGTCGTCGTCATTGTCGTCATCGTCGTCATCATCGTCGTCATCATCATCGTCATCATCATCGTCATCGTCGTCATCATCGTCGTCGTCATCGTCGTCGTCGTCATCGTCGTCGTCGTCATCGTCGTCATCATCGTCGTCGTCATCGTCGTCATCATCGTCGTCATCGTCGTGATGCCTCCCCCACCGTGCGTGTGGATCGGGTCATTGCGGTGTTGCACGTCGCCCGTTCTGGATGACCCACAGTCGCCACGCTACTGCCGGAGACTTTTCCCCGGCTTCACGTCCCACACGTGCACCGCGCGGCGGACGCGGCGGTCGAAGCGTTGCCGCCGAGCGGACGACGCCGGAACGCCCCAGCGTTCCGGCGTCGTCCCACGTCGCCAGCAAAAAAAAAACTTCGCCTCTCGCTCTGCGGTGGCGAAGAAAAAATAAGTTCCCGGAGCCCCCCCCCGCCCTGCCCCCCCCCCCCCCCCCGCGATCGCCCTGCGAAGGACCGCGGCAGCGGCGACTTTGGCCGAGAGGGGAGCGACGATCCGGGAGCCGCGGCCCGATTCGGTTCGGGAAAAGTGGGGCCGATATTGAGTGATTGACTGATTGTAAATGAGCGGCGCTATGCACGTGCGCGCGGATACGTCTCCGACCACGGTTATTTATTTCCGAGCCCGCTGGACGCGCGCTCTTATCGCCTCGCTCGCAAGTTGTGATCGTACGGCGTAAGGCACTACCACTAGACCGCAAGGTACACATATCCGTGATGATGGTTCATGCTGCGTGTACGTGGCCAGGCTCGCCCACACACAGAGACCCATAGACTCACACACACACACAGAGAGACCCATAGACTCACCCACACAGGGACCCCTAGACTCACCACACACACACCCAGACCCATAGACTCACCCACACACACAGAGACCCCTAGACTCACCACACACACACACACAGACCCATAGACTCACCACACACAGAGACCCATAGACTCACCCACACAGAGACCCCTAGACTCACCCACACAGAGACCCATAGACTCACCCACACAGAGACCCTAGACTCACCCACACACACAGAGACCCCTAGACTCACCACACACAGATGCCCCTAGACTCACCACACACACACACAGACCCATAGACTCACCACACACAGAGACCCTTGACTCGCCACACACACACAGACCCATAGACTCACCACACACACACAGACCCCTAGACTCACCACACACAGAGACCCTAGACTCACCACACACACACACAGACCCATAGACTCACCACACACAGACCCCTTGACTCGCCACACACACAGAGACCCTAGACTCACCACACACACAGAGACCCATAGACTCACCCACACACAGAAACCCTAGACTCACCACACACACACACAGACCCATAGACCCACACACACACAGACCCCTAGACTCACCACACACACACACACACAGAAACCCTAGACTCATCACACACAGAGACCCTAGACTCACCACACACACACACAGACCCTAGACTCACCACACACAGATACCCCTAGACTCACCACACACACAGAACCGACTCACGCACACACACAGACCCCTAGACTCACCCACACAGAGACCCCTAGACTCACCACACACACAGAGACCCCTAGACTCACCCACACACACAGACCCCTAGACTCACCCACAAAGAGACCCCTAGACTCACCACACACAGAGACCCCTAGACTCACCCACACACAGACCCCTAGACTCACCCACACACACAGAGACCCCTAGACTCGCCACACACAGAGACCCATAGACTCACCACACACACAGAGACCCCTAGACTCACACACAGAGACCCCTAGACTCACCCACACACACAGACCCATAGACTCACCCACACACACAGACAGAGGCCACCTAGACTCACCCACACACACAGAGACCCCATGCTCACCCACACAGAGACCCCTAGACTCACCACACAGAGACCCTAGACTCACCCACACACACAGACCCCTAGACTCACCACACACACAGAAACCCATAGACTCACCACACACACAGAGACCCATAGACTCACCATCACACAGAGACCCTAGACCAGGGGTCGGGAACCTTTTTGACTAAGAGAGCCATGAAAGCAAAAAATTTGGAAATTTATTTCAGTGAGAGCCATATAATATATTTTAAAAGTGAATTCAACTAAATGTCAGTATAATAAGCCTCTGAATTTATTCTTTTAAATAATGTTGTTATAAGACTCACCATTAATGCGACTTCTGGTGCTGCATGGATTTGCTGATGTCTTTGTAGTCGGGTTGGTACTTGGTGAGGTTAAGCTTCATGCAAGCGTTGAGGCTTTCATCCGTTAAACGTGATCGTAGGTTGGACTTGATGTTTTTAAGATGTGAGAATGACTGCTCACATGCATACGTAGATCCAAACATGGTCAATACAGCAATACTCACACGCTGCAGTGTGTGGTATGTGACAGGAAGCGCGTTCCAAGTTTTGAGAATCAGCTGGTCTTCGGGTTGGAGTTTTTTCATTTCTGTCCACATGTTCTTGCTCGCCAACTCCGCTTTCTGTCATGTGATTCTTTCCAAATCTTCATTCAGTGACTTGAACTTATTCACCCACATGTCTGAGGCCTTCAGGTCAGCCACTTCTGCTTCAAAATCTCTGACGGAGACACCAGGGATGTAATTCAGGTCGGCTGTGTTCAGTGAACACTCGTTTGGATGGGTGATGAACTTAAAAAGACGAGTGTGCTCACGAAATTCTCCAAAGCGTGCTTTGAAGGACTGTAGGAGACTGGATGTGCAGCCAGCTAGCTGGTGGAGATCAAGGTTTTGAATGGGCTCACTTGCTGTGCATGCATCTTTAAATTGGCTCAGTTTTTCAAAATGTAGTAAACGACCTGTTTCAAGATCCGTGATGAAAAGCTCCAGCTTGTTTTCAAAAGCAAATACAGCTTGTTGAAGGGATAACACTGTATTTCCAATGCCTTGCATTTTCACGTTGAGCTGGTTCAGATGTTCAGTCAGATCTACGAGATAGTAAAACTTGAGGAGCCACTCGGTGTCGGCTAGCTCAGGATGCCCGACGCCTTTCATTTCAAGGAAAGTCCGGATTTCGTTCAGGCAAGCCGCAAAACGGCTAAGCACCTTCCCTCTTGACAACCAACGCACATTGCTGTGCAAAAGCAGACCAGGATAGTTATTTACAACTTCATCCAGCAGTGTTTTAAACTGGCGATCATTTAAGGCTCGGGCAACAATAAAGTTGATCACACGAATGACCAGCGACATCACTTCGCCAAACTGCCTGTCACACATCTGAGCACAAAGTGCCTCCTGGTGTATAATGCAATGGAAACTTAGGATGGGTCTATTTTCATGTTCACGGAGAAGCGCCACAAATGCTTTGTTTTTCCCCACCATACACGGAGCACCATCAGTACACACTGAGAGAAGTTTATCCATAGGTAGACTTTTTTCTTGAGCAAACTCCATGAAAGACTTGAATAAATCCTCACCTCTTGTGGACCCTTTTAATGGCAGAACAGCAAGACTTTCTTCGCGCAGTGTGTCACCAACAGCATATCTTGCAATCACGCTGAACTGCGACAAATGGCTCACGTCTGTTGACTCATCCAAAGCCAGAGAAAAGAACGGCGCTGCATTTATGTCCTTCACTTGCGTTTCCTCCACTTTGTTTGCCATCACGATGGTACGATCATGAACAGTTCTTGCCGACAGAGGCATGTCTTGTATCCGTTTGATTATCTTGTCTTTGTTCGGAAGATCATCAAAAAGTTCATTGGCTACATCCAGCATGAACGTTTTAGCATACTCGCCATCTGTGAATGGTTTTCCGTTCCTCACTATTGCTAAAGAACCAGCAAAGCTAGCCGAATTATAGTCACCTTGCCGGGTCCATACGCGGAGTTGCTGCTGGCTAGCTTGCACCCTGCTCAGAAGCTCTTGGCACGCTTTCTTTCTGCTGTCTCCCGCAGGGTATTTTGATGCAAAGGTAGCGTGGCGCGTGTCGAAGTGCCGCTTTACATTCGACCGTTTCAACGGTGTAATTTTGTCATTGCAAATTAGACACACCGCAGAACCCGCTCTCTCCACAAAGGCGAATTCTTCGGTCCATTCGTCCTGAAATGTACGATACTCGTCGTCTTTTTTTCTTTTCGCCATCTTCTTCGTCGAAGGGTTAGCTTTGAGCTAATGACCGAGCAGACGCAGTCTCAGACTGATTCAAAAGGGGGCGTTTACCTGTTTTACCCAGCAACGGCAAACGTAGGCCAGTATCATCCAATTAAAATAATGGACAATTGCTCCTGCAGCCCTGAACAGGACACGCGCAGTGAAAAAAATCGATGGATGGATTAAAACAAGTGAGAATATTTTGTTTTATCTGCGAGCCATATGCAATCATCAAAAGAGCCACATCTGGCTCGCGAGCCATAGGTTCCCGACCCCTGCCCTAGACTCACCCACACACAGAGACCCCTAGACTCACCACCCACACACAGACCCCTAGACTCACCCACACACACAGAGACCCCTAGACTCACCCACACACACAGAGACCCCTAGACTCACCCACACACAGAGACCTCTAGACTCACCCACACACACACACAGACCCCTAGACTCACCCACACACACACACAGACCCCTAGACTCACCCACACAGAGACCCCTAGTGTAGTGCATAGCATATAGTGTTGTGTATCGTAGTTAATTGTGTAGTGTATTGCAACTTAAAGCTTTCGTGACTGCAGGAATATCCTTTGGGTCTTTCGGTGAAGTCACGTAGATGGGATTTTAAGAAAATTACAAAACACAACGACGTTTCGATCACAACACAAGCGGCCGTCGTGTTGCGATCGAAACGTCGTAGTTATTTTTTCGTTTGTTATTTTCTTTCAGCCTTTCTACGCGCCTTTACCGAAAGACCCAAAGAATAGTGCATAGTAGTTAATGGTGTAGTGTACGGAGTAATAATCATCAGCATCATCTCGATCCATGGGCAGCTAGGCCCTTAGGTGTGCACAGCACATTGTCGCCTCTGTGCTGTGCGTGCGCGTGTTTGTGTGCGCGTGCGTGCGTGTGTGCGCTTGTGTGCGTGTGTCCCGGGAAACTCGGGGACAGCCGTGGTGATATCGTGGAGGCCCAGCGGCGCTCGTGTCACCGTCCAGGAGACGGCGGTCGAGTGGCGCCGCCTACCGCATGCACGCTCCCACCCTGCCGCCAGGGTCTCCCATTTGTCCCGGAGAAATCCGACGAGCTGAGAAGCTCTTTCTTTTTTTTACACTCCCCCCCCCCCCACCGCCGCCCACAGATGTCTGTGTGGGATAGCGTAGTGTATAGTAGTTTATAGTGTAGTGTATAGTAGTTTATAGTGTAGTGTATAGTAGTTTGTAGTGTAGTGTATAGTAGTTTATAGCGTAGTG